TGTGTGTGTGTGTGTGTGTGTGTGTGTGTGTGTGTGTGTGTGTGTGTTTAATGCCACTGTCATCAAACAGTTTGGTTTGGCCTGGCAAGATAGCCCAGTGGCTAAAAGCATTTGCTGCCCAAGTCTGACAAGTGAGTTGTCATTCATATCTTGGTATGCCCAGACCTACACTGATACCTCCACATAAATAAATATAATTAAAAATTAGCAAAATAAATTTTTGATATTTAGTCTAAGCTTGTCTCAAAACTGTAATCTTATATACAGAAACTAACCAGGTTGACATCTCACTGGCCTGCCTTCCTCTGTGTTTTGTTTTCTAACCAAGGAGCCACCATATATCCTTTAACTTACTTTTGGCTATATTTCATGACTGCTTTGCTGTCCTTTGTGATGTGTGGCTGGTAACTAAATGGCTGTTGACGCTTTGACCCTTAGTAGTGTGCATTCTCTTCACCCATATAAAGTCCTGTTAGGTGTCACCATTTTTGTTTTAAGCCAGTTATGTTTTAGTGAGGGTTTTATTTTGAGACAAGGTCTTACTCTGTAGCTCACACTACTTCAAAAGCCTCAGGTGATCATTCTGCCACAATAAATGTGTTTGGGGCTAAAGCCAGAATGTCTAGATTTTAGCAAGGTTTAAATTTTTGTTTTGGAGACAGGATGTCATATAGTCCTTGAAGTGTTGTTAGGTTGACCATAGTTAGCTTTGAACTCCTGATCTCCTGTCCAACCTCGCAAGTGCAGCAGCACAGGCCTCTATCACCACCAGCCCAGCAAGAAGTCTATCCGGAGAGTTGGGGTTTCCTTTGTATAAATTTTTATTTCTCTAATGTGGTTTCTTTCTGCCCCAAGTTATTGCATTAACATTTCCTCTTTACTGTGGCTGTGATGACAATGAATTCTTTTAGCTTTTGTGTTTCTGAGAGCTTTTACACCCCCCATAAGACAGTTTCATTAACCCATGCTGGCCTTGAAGACATCCCCTCATGGTCTTCCTGCCTCACCCTCCTGACTACTGGGATAAACAGGTATGTGTTAGGAAAAGTATCAGCTCAGGACCCCCCCCCCCCCCAACACCAAGTTCTCACATAAAGGAGATTATTTGCTCCCACAGGGACAAAGGGCACGGAATAAGAGACAGAGAATGAGGGAGAAGGGAAATTGAGCAAGGGAGGAAGAGGAACGGGTATTTGTCCCAGGGACAAAGGACACATTTGTCTCCTGGATATACAGGAGACAAATGTGGCACATAAAAATTATCAGTTTGGAAAGGTTCAGGGGGAATCCATGTGTGAGGGTGAGGTGTTTAATTTTAATTGGGCATTTAATTAGATGAGCCAAAGGTGGCTTTTGATAGCTGGACCTTGGTAGTCAGCCTCAGGAAGAGGAAGTGGCCAAATAAGGGAGAAGACCTTGGTGGCTGTAGGAATTTTTTGCAAGCTGGAGGGGGAGAAGGGCAAGGCCTGCCAGAGCCATGCCTGCCGTGCTCAAGCTGGCCAGACTCCCTTCAGTATGTGTCATCACTGTTGTAACCCCCTCCCCATTCTGGCTGGTTCTGGAGTTCTGGTTGATAAAAATGGAAAGTTCTCTACCCTATGCATTGTACTGTGGCCTAGAAACCTATTTTGTTCCTTTGTTAAATGTTCTTTATTTTCTAATATTTTCTAATGGCTTTTAAGTTTGTTTCTCTTTACCACTCATCTCAAGCAACTTTTGATGTGCCTTGTGTGGTTATCTTCATGTTTCCTATGCCTGAGTTTTTTGAAGTTCTTTGAATCCATTGTAGTTTTAAGCAAATTTAGAAAAAATAAAAGCAGTGATTATTTGATAAAAAAAATTTTCTGCCAGCTCATCTTAGGAACTGCAGTTAAGCCTTAAGCAAACCCTTGAAATCATTGCATAACCCACTGATGCTCTTAGGCCAGAGGGTGTGGGGCCCCCTCTTTTTTTTTTTTTTTTTTTAAGGTTTATTATTTATATTATATAGTGTTCTGCCTGCATGTGTGCCTGCACACCAGGAGAGGGCAGCAGATCTTATAGATGGTTTTTGAGCTACCATGTGGTTGCTGGGAATTGAACTCAGTGCTCTTAACCTCTGAGCTCTCTCTCCAGCCCCCTATCTTGTTTTGTTTTGTTTTGTTTTGTTTTGTTTTGTTTTGTTTTTCCAAGACAAGGCTTCTCTGTATAGCCCTGATTGTCTTGGAACTTACTCTGTAGTTCAGGCTGGCCTCAAACTCAGAGATCTGCCTTCCTCTGTCTCCTAAGTGCTAGGATTAAAGGCGTAAGTTTATTTTTATTTTATGTATGTGGGTACTTTGTCTATATGTCGTCTACATGTGTATCTGCATCATGTGGTTGCAGTGTCCAAGGAGGCCAGAAGAGGCTGGTAGGTCCTCCAGAGCTGGAGTTACAGATGGTTGTGAGCCACCTTGTGGATGCTGGGAATCAAACCTGGATCCTCTTTTTAAAAAAGCAGCAGGTACATTTAACTGCCGAGTCATTTTTCCCAGCCCAGAGTTGTGGTTTTTCTTTTGTCTCTAAATTCTCAAATTGTCATCTTCTAGAATTTGTCTGTTCTAAAAATATCATGACTCCTTACCTTTAGTTTCTTGGGCATGAGAAATATAGTCCTCACTTTCATATCTTTGTCTTCTAATTTTCTTGTCTTTACCATCTCTGGATTGCTTGTGTTTCCTCTCTTTCCCATCCCCAAGGCTCACCATCCTTTCTGTTGACAGATGCCCAGTGCCTTGCAATCTGCCATGTGGTTTTACTAGTTTTGAACAGAGAGTAGCTAGTTGATTCCCATTAGTACCTGCTTCTTACCAAGCTGGAAACGGAGGGTCTGAAGGGTAAGTAGCTTCCTTCAGTTTTTCAGCCAGCTGGCAGACCAGGGCAAGGGTCACTGAGTGAAGTCCTGACTTTTCTTCAGTGACAGTCTCACCATGTAATTGAAGCTCTGTCCTTAAAACCTTAGAGCTTAATTTAAACTTCAGGAGGAGGTGGCTGAAAATACTTAAATGGAGCCCTGCATCCTTGAGCAGCTTTGTGAACACACTCAGCCCTTTGGTTACCTGTGTTGCCCATGTATATCAGTTGGAGGGTACTGCATATTTCTGTTCTGGTTGCAATGCAGCAAAGGGGTATGGCCAGGTGACCCATATTATCTCCCTGCCCCCAGTGTAGAAATGCAGTATTTCCTGGTGGTCAGGCTGTTACTCCTTCAGCTGCCCTGTACAGAATTCAGAGTGGGAGGCAGCGAGACAGAGCTCACATAATGGGTTTCTTGCTCCTCTGGGCATGCATAGCCCTAGGTTCTTTGACACTAGGTGTTCTTACACAGCACCGCAGAGAGGTGCCCTGATTTAATCGTGTAGCACATCCTTCAAAGGCAGCTCCAGTTATTCCAAGGCTGGCTCCTTCAGGGAGTCATTGGAGGTGCAGTGCTATCCAGTGAGTTCATGGTCAGGGCTCACCTTCCTTGGCTAAAAAGTGGATTGCTTGGATGAGTGGGTTGTATGGGATTTCATACCTCTGAGTTGCCTATTATGTGAACATTATGCAGGTGGCTGAGGCCCTATAAATAGGAAAGACAGCCCATACCTGGAATAGTTACCCTGTGAGAGACAGACCTTTGGCTCTTCCTGCACTGAGAGAGTCCAAAGTAATCCAGGTGGCCGGTCGGTCTCTGAGGAGTGCCATGCAGGAATAAGGGTATATATCATTAACAGCTTGGCACTCAGAGGCAGCAGTAGCTGGATAGGTTGGGTGCATATCTGCCCTCTATCTGCTTTTTGTGGAGCTGCCCTCTGCAAGGTACTTACTGGGCTCCTGATCGGTAGGTTTGGCCAGTGGTGGTCTCCAGCAGGAGAGAGAGAAAATATTTCTCCTTCCAACCCCTTCCCCCACCAAGCCGTGGTTTGCTGAGGCTGTGTACTCAACCAAAGGTCACAGCTCCTGCTGAGCAGAGCAGACTTCTTATATGCCTGACTTTCCACAAGCTGCCAGCAGGCTTCTCTCATCCCGTTCAGCTAGGGATAATAATGGCTTCCCATACTGTGAGCCTGCTGCCCACACCCACACCCCTGCTGGCTTCCCTCCTTGCCACTGTGAAGCCTGTCTACAGTCAAGCGGGCTTCAGTCACCTGTTCTGAGGATGCCACCTTTCCTTCTGACAACAGATAATTGAGTTTTCCTACCTGTTATTCCAATTGAGAATTGCAGATGGTAAACATATTTCTCATCTCAGTTCACTTACTGGGTGTTTATTGAGGGTGGACTATGGGCCAGATAGTATTCTATAAAAAGACAGTGGTTCATGAAACAAGGGGATGCAGTTAAAAGGTAACTAGGGACAGATGTCCCATCCTCTGATTAATCATGAAGGGGACCGAGGATGTGGCCACCTCAGATAGGGTTTTCTGGGACTAGCTCTGGAAACCTTGGCTTCAAGATTAGGAGCTTGCGCCTCACAGTGTAGGAGGAAGGCAAATCCACATAGGCGGCTGACAAGAACAAAGGCCCGGGGAGCAATCAATACACAGAAGCTTCTGGAAGTGAACAGCGCCCCTGGTAGGTAACAAGGGGTTACCTCATAGTATGAGGTAGAATGAGTCTTAGTGTGTAATATAATGTTGGCCTCTTTTCACTTCAGTTAGACTGTCGGGTTTGCTTAACAAGTGGTTTTCAGAGTATTCATTGGGCACACACTCAGTTTTCAAACAGGGCCAAGACTTTGTAGTCAGTTCCGGTAAACTCTGAGACCGCAGCTAGGGAGTTGGAGACTGCGCCCCTGCACTTCCATGGGTCTCGAGGCAGGGTGCTTTCCGCTCTGAAATAGGAGTAGGACTGTCGCTGGGAGTCTCAACAGGCTTCAAGAATACAGGATGGATGATGTGGCCATTATCTATGTAGGAATTAAGCAGACAACAGGAGATTCAGGGAGGGAATGTGGCAAATCATGTAAAAACCATTACAAGCTCTAAGCTCATGACTGGCTGTTTTCAATGGGTATTACGGGAGTTAATGCAACAGTTACTTGTCACCTATTTTGAGGTATAAATATGCCTTGTAGTGGCCCTGGCAGTTAAAACCTGGGTTCCAACTTCAGCCTCTCTGGCCACCCCGTAAGTGAGTGGCTTGCTCTTTGGGCCATATTGGTGTCCTGATATAGCTGTGGTTAAGACTGTTAAGTCAGTATAGTGCATACCAGATTTTTGTTTGGGCCAAGTTTTTCCCTACAGAATTCAAGTTCTACCAAGTTGGGGAACTCCTTTCCCACTTACTTTCTCCTGCTTCCCGAACTAAACGTTCCCTCCAAGTCAGGAACCAAGATCATTTCTGTGTAGTGCCAATGAGAACATTGACTATAAGAGGTGTTTACTTTCCCTTCCCTTCTTCGTTTCTTTCCTCCTTCCTTTCCCCTTATTTTATTTCTCTCTTTCCTTCTCTCTCTCTGTCTCATTCTTTTTTCTTTTTTTTTTTTTTTCCTTCCTCTATTCTTTCTTTCCTTCCCTACCAACTCTTTTCGCGAACACGTGCAGGGGTTGCTTTTGGCCACCAAGCGGCGCTCAGCCACCGTCTAGGACAGACCCCTAACTGTCCCACAGGGTTCCAAGTTTTGGTTTTCAAGTGTCAGAGAGGTCATTCTACAAGTTTGGGGGACGCTCCGGGGCACGAACAGCGCTGAAGCCTCAGGCTGGCTGCGAAAGAGCCGAGTCCAGGCGCGTCGAGCCCCTCGGGTGGCAGAGGCCAGATACCGAGGCGCGCGCTCCGGGACCGGGGTGTCGAGGGCCCGGACCCGCGAGGAGCCGGTGAGCGCCGTGGGCCCCCGCCCTCCCCGGCCGGCCGCTCCTCCCCTGGGTGGGTCCCCGCGCCTTTTCTGGCGGGGTCTATTTGCATAGAGGGAACTACTCGCAGTGGCCGCTGCGTCGGAGCCGGCGGCGAGGGGGGCGTGCGCGATCCACGGCCACCGGGACGCCGAGCCCCGCAGCCGCAGACCTGGAGCCTCCCGGGGCCGCAACGACGACGCCGAGCCGGCCGGTCGCCATGGGCGCGGGCGAGCGCACGGCTGGCGGGGGAGGCGCGCAGGACCGCGGAGCCGGCTGCGGGGCCCGGGCGCTGGGCGCGCTCTGTCTGCTGCTGTCGGTGGGCTCGGCCGCCGCCTGCCTGCTGCTGGGTGCCCAGGCGGCCGCACTGCACGGCAGAGTGACGGCGCTGGAGCAGGAGCGCGAGCTGTGGCGGCGTGGGGGACCGTCGGGAGCCCTGGCCGCCTGGGCCGAAACGCACCTGGAGCGCCTGCTGCGCGAGGTGAGGCGCGCGATCGCCAGCCGGGGGCTGTCACACTGTGCGTGGGGTTGTGGGGCTACCGGGGCGGTGGGGTGGTCATCCTCAGAAGCAGAGCTTAAAACAAGTGGATTGCACGAGGGGTCGCTGGTCTTGAAGGGTCCTGCTGTCCGGTTCCTGTGCCAGGACTTGCATCCACAGGAAAAACAACCCAAAGGGGCCGTTTATGGGGCACTCGGTAGTGGAGGTAAGGTAAGACCCTGAGTAACAGTCCTGAGCTCGGCGTCTTAGTGTGCACTCAAACCCACCGCCTCCCTCCTGCTTTCAGCGCTGGAGATACTAAAAGGCTCCTGCATCCCCTGGTTCACCTGAAACAGCCCAGATCATCAGGGCTCCCGCCAACCTTTCCTCGGTCTGGAAACGACTCCCACCTGGATGTGCGGTGTTTCTAAGCTGGCCCGCTGAAACCACACAGCTAGGACCCAGCTGAGCTGCCCCTGGGTGCATTTGGCTGTGGTGATCTCCACAGCGCACTCCAAAACCTTTTAGGTTTTGTTTGTTTTTGTTTTTGTTTTTGTTTTCCCCTGAGGGTTAAGACTGCTGTTGTGAGCCTGGCTTGGTCGCATCTGTAATCCCAGAGTTTGGAAGGCTGAATCGGGTGGATCTCAACAAGATGGGGGTTGGTTTGAGCTATGTAGTTGAGATCCAGGTCCAGCCTAGGCCAGAGAATGAGACACAAACAACCCCAAACCAACAGCTGGGCATAGTGGCGAACGCCTTTAACCGCAGCACTTCGGGTGCAGAGGCAGGAGGATCTCTACGAGTTTGAGGTCCAGCCTGTACAGAACAGCCAGAGCTACATACTAAGACCCTGTCTCAAGTGAAAACAAACAACAGCAAAAACAGACCAAAAAAAAAAGTATGCCCTGACGTCTGGGCCTCCATCTGATGTTGCGCTGGCCAGAACCTCTACCTTTTGTGCAGCAAGCCTCTTGCGTGTAGAACTGTGGCAGGCACCAGCGCACTAGCCACAATTTCTCTTGGCTCTGCCTCCCTTACGGGAATGGTTATCTTCCTCCTGGGGGAGGTGGCTGCCCAGATCTGGGGCGGGGGGCGGTAACATCACTCCTAAGCACAGTAGAAAATGAACCTTTCTTCGTGGTACAGGAAGCAGGAGGGCAGTTGTGCTACCTATCATCCATACCCCAAGCTGTGCCCGGTGGAGATCTTTGTTACTGCACTGAGCTGTGCAGGGCTAGGGGGTATAGCTCAGTGGAAGCTTTCTGGGCACATGCAAGTCCCTGGATTGGACTTCTGGCATCAGGCACATATATTGAGCCGTGCGCCCGAGGTGGAGTGAATTTGGGGTTTCAAAGGGAATGGAAGAACCCTAGACTTAACCTTCCTGTTTCCCACAGCTCCTCAGCCACTTTAATAAGCCAACATTACCTCTTCTACTTGGTTCTGGGCAAAATTGCTGCTTCCTGAATGATTTCCTTTTTTCTTCTTGAAAGTGCCTGCAGAAGGGAGAAATCTGCCCCGGGCCCTGCCAGCAACTTATGGTTTCATAATTGCCACCCATTATCCTCTGTCAACTCTCCTAAAGACCAGTTGAACCCTTTGTGGCGGGCCAGTTACTTTCTACCTGTGAATGCCCCAACCACCGTGTCCTTCATAATGGGAAGAATAAACCACAAGACATGGCCAGGAAACCAGAAATCCGTGAAAGACCTTTGTTTGAGGAGCTCACAGACTGTGTCTTTACTAATAGAGATGGATTTGTGAGGAATCAGCCACCTCCCACTCCCACCCCCCAGGACTGCTAATACCTTATGTTGGAGATGGACCTGGGGTCTTACACAAGCTAGGCAGGCACTCCACACAGGACAAGATCTCTAGCCCAGGCATTGGCCCTTTAGTCCCATAGTCTCCTCCTCTTTCTCCTGTCCTTTCCTCTTCCTCCTCTTCCCCTCTCCTTTCCACACCAACGTCCTTCCTCTTCCTTTTGTTCTTCCCCTCCTTTCTCTTTCTTCTTTTCCTTCTTTTTCTCCTTCCTCCTTATCCTTCTGCTTATCCTTTCTTTCACCCTTCCTTCTCTTTCTCATGAAATGTTTTTGAGATAGAGACTTGCCATATAGTCCTGGCTTGTCTGGGACTCGCTATGTAGCCCAGGCTGGCCTCCTCCTCATGCCTCTGTCACCAGAGTGTGGAGCTGATAAGCATGCATTGCCACACCCGGCCTCATACTTTTTTTTTTTTTTTTTCCTTCACTGAGATGGGGTCTTTCTTGTTATACAGACCTGGCTGGCCTTAAGCTCAGTGCTGGCTTCCTGCTCTTTAAAGGCAAAGGAAAAAAGAAATTCAGATCTTGAGACCTACTAGGTCTACCCATTGAAGATCTGCTGTGCCCTTCAACACTTGGTGCTGAGGCATTGTTGGGCTTGAAGTGTAGACTAACTCCTTTCCCTTCCTGAAGAGCTGACCCAGCACCAACACTTCAGGGTTGTCTGTCTGCTGGGGTGTCTCTATCCCTAGTGACAAGGACTCTCCCTGGGCGCCATTTGGTTCCTGCTGCCTGTTAAATGTTTCTGGATGGAAATGCACACACTTATCAAGATGGGAGGCACTTTCTGGGGAGACCACAGTTGGCTTGACCTAGATGTGTCGATAGTTTTTCTAACCACTAGGACCATCTCTTAGGGAAAGGACCATTGGACGCAGCACGTTTCCTAGCTTGCTTTGCTCCGTGGGAAGCCCCTTTTTAAGTCACCACTGAAGCAGCTGTGTGTATACAGCTTGCCCTTTAACCAATAAAGTCGTGTGTAGAGGATCCCAGGCGGAAACCATGTCCAAATTTTACAAAAGAAATTCTTGCTAACCACACACAAGTTTAATGTCAGGGGGGAAAAAATGAGTCAACAAAAGCCACTGTTTATAGGGGACCCACTGTCTCTGTTCCCTTGGGAACAGAACCATGACATCGTTTTTTCTGGGGCTGGCGGATGTGCCTGATAATGTAGCTACAGAAGGAATATTCATGTCCTGTCGTGATTATCGAAAGACCCTTCTTGCAGTGCATATGGGAAAGAAGTGACTTTCAGAATATCAAAACAAGATTTCTAAGCAACAGCCATTAAAGGCATTATCTTTAGTAGGATCTAAAAATATTCATGTGAAACCAAACATCTCCTTCTCTGCTTTGAAAGTGCCTTCAGTAACTGCCCAATTAATCACCCGCTCAGCAATTACACCTCCAGCTACAATGTTGCAGAAGCCAAGGATTCAGAACTCATAGCTTTCATACTGCAGTGAAAAACTTAATGCAAAGGATTAAAGCAATATTTGGTTGTATTCCGTGGAGGCCCTTTCCAGCTTAGAATGGATTTGTTGTTGGCTCTCAGCCTTCTATTGTCTGGACCAATCAGTTTGAAAACAAGGAAAGTCCAGAGAGTTGGATAAAACTCAAGCACTTTCCTTCCTATGTATGTTGGTTGTGTTACTGTCAAATCTAGAATCCAGTGTGGCTTTCTCAGCCTCTCTGGTAGCCGGCTTGTCGGGGCTGCTCTGTGGGGTCTCTGTTAATAAAGATGCCTGGAAATGGAGTATAAATCAGCTCTGATTTGTTTCCTTGACATTTCCTGGCTCCTAACATTCCCCCCCCCCAAAAAAGTTTCCTTCCAATTACTTCCTGGCACTTACTTTCTCTCTGCTTTTTTTTTTTTTTTCTTCCTTCTTCTTGCCTTTAAAACATTTTCATGCTGCCATTTGGGACAGCTTCATAATAATAGCAACATGTTTAGAAGAAGCCAACTGTGTGGGGCGTTCTCTCCGAAGACACATTAGAATGGTCGAAATTGGTCATTTCCAGGCTGACTTTGAAGATGTGGGCAAAGCCAGCTCCTGAAACCGGGAGGGCACCCTGGAAACTGCCTGGACGGTACCAGGGGAGTGAGCAGAGCCATGCTAGGCATGGTGCTGTCTCCAAGAAGGTTTGAGTCTGGCCCCAGCATTTGTAAGCTGTCATCTGACTTCTTCAAATTCAGCCTTCTCCTATCGCAGTGGTGTGACAGCTCATGTCATGAGCAAGCTGACAACGCCAAGGCCACTCCTGGTCGATGCCAGGTAGGATGTGTATCTAGCTGCCCCTCAAAGCTCATGTACTGAGAACCTAGCTGCCGGGCTGCCAGGGCCAAAAGGCATTTAAGAAGTGGTGGAGCCCATTTGAAGTCCTGAAGTCAATCACAGGCATTGCCAACCTTTGGGTTATAGGTCCCTGTCCTATTCTGGCTTCCTAATTGTGCTGTGGTTCATAATCTCCCCTCTCATTCTCTGCTTCTCCCTCTTCCTATCCTTCCCTGCCATCATACCGTCTGCCAAAAGGCCATAACCAGAGGCAAAAAAAAAAAAAAAAAGAAAAAAAAAGAAAGAGACTGCCTGATCTTGTACTTTCAGTCCACAAAACTGTGCTAAATCTTCCTTTATAAAATAGCCTGTCTCTAGTATTTGACTATAATAATGAAAAACAGGCCAATAGTCAGACAGGGTCTCACTATGTAACCCAGACTGGCTTTGAACTCCTTATGTAGCCTAGACTGACTTCAAATTTGTAGTTCTCCTGCCTCAGCCTCCTCAGTGCTGGGGCTATGAGCATCAGTCACCATGCCTGAGTGTAGATGTGCTTTTGACGGCAGGTAATGGAATGCCTGATGTGGCCGATTAACCAAGATAATTGTTAATGGGTAGCACTGGATTGCCTCATATGGTAAGAAAAGCCTGGAATACAGCAGATTTGGGAAGTTCGTGGTTCACACTTGGTTGTCAGATTCTGCTGGCAGTCCATTCTCCAGGGTCCTGATCAGCAGTTCTTTGATATCAAATAGCTAAGGTAAGGGATGGAGAAGAAAGGAGTTACCCTCCTTTGAGCTTCCCCCTCGAGTTTAAATCTGGAGGAAATGCTGGAAGCTTCTTTCAGCAGAATTCCCTTGCCGCTGTCAGCCAGAATTAGGTCACATGACTATGGCCAC